TGCTTTGACATAATATGAACAACGGAAATGGATAATGCAGCCCAAGTACTATACTACAGAGTAACCATCAATACCACAGTCTACAGAGCACTTTTGAAATACGAAAGTTAAAAAACAAACCCATCTGAATGTGAGGGGTTGAAAGTCCATTATTCTGGAGGGATGCTACATACTATTTTGATACTTACCAGGAAGGGCAGAGGTGTTTAGAAAATGAGTTAGCAGAATGTCCATGCTATCTTTAACCTCTAGGGAGCCAAGAGCTTTCCAACAGGACTGATAATTCTTAGCATAACTTAAGCTTTCAGAAGCATTATGATAATAAGCAGGTTAAAAGTTCCTAAGTTCAAAAAAAAAAAAGAAAGATGAGGCAAAACAGAAGAAGCCTGTATGTTTTATCAAAAGACTGAACACTTCATTTCATTTCCTAGAACCTGTAAAAGATAGATAGAATCCCTTGATATTAAAATGCCACATGGCATGTAGCAGATAACTTGTAACTGGAAGTAAAAAGTAAGGGCAATAAGGCCAGGAATCCTGTGTATTTTAATTTCATTTAGAGTTAAGGCCAGGAATGCTGTGTATTTTAATTTCATTTAGAGTTCAGGCCAAATGATGATTTACCCAGTGATAAAAAGATTCAAGATCACTATACTCATCTCTTATTATCTTCGTAAAAGGATGAAGGAACCAATATTGAGATGCTGGCCTGGTACTTATATGCCTCCCAAGCCAAAGCTATCTAAAACACCATCCCTACCTAAAAAAGGAAGTTTTTTTTATGGTACTTGGGGCAGGAAACATTTTGTATGTATACAGACTGAAATGATAAAATAACCATCTAGTAGAATTTATGTATGAGTATATAAGCCACATAGGATGTCTAAGCTAGAATTTTTCACTGAATGAACACTATTTTAGGTGGTGATAGAAGTCCATAATCGTGTTTAAAAAGACAGCAAGTACTTTTTTTTCCTGTTTAGACACAAATTGAAACAGAGAAGTGAGCTTACAAATAGAGCTTTATAATGGTCACATACAATACAGGCACAGTTTCTTTCAAATAATCTTCACTACACAGTCATATCTAAATCTAGTATGTACCTTATTTTCAATATTATACTGCTGCAGGACAAAGAACCCTGTCTGAAGTGATCTTTGTGTACTGCCAAGTAAATGGTGTATTTCAATTCAGAATCATTATATATCTCACTGGTGTTTTGTTAATATATTTTTTACTCCTGAAAGTATATTGCTACTCCCATTTCTTAAATTATTCAATACTTCATTACATGAAGGACAAAGGCATACACACACACTTAAGAGAACTCTGTTTCTGTACCAATTAAGGTGCTCTGTAAAGGGAGAAAGAGGTAGCCAGCTCTGTTTTGGAACCAAGTTCATTAGCAAGATGTTAAGACTAGAAAGATAAGGGAGCAACAGTTTAAGAGCAAAATGTTTCACCATTCAATACCATAATTTTACTGCACATATTTTTAATAACTATTTCTTCTTATCACCATATTAATCAAATGGTTACTCAGGAACTGAGTCTGTAAAATAATGACTCAAACTATTCCCCAGTGATTAATCACTACAGATAAACAAGAATTTGTTCAATTTAAGGAGACTGAATGCTATTACCACTCAATAGGTCTGACACAAAGTTTAAACAAACAAAACTCTGGAGCTTGGAATAGCTTATATTTTTCTACTACTGCAGTCAAGATACATCTAGAAAATCCCATACTGAAAGATCACTAATTGCTCTAACTCCTTTCTAGTTTTGTCAGCAATTGTAATGCCTCATTAAGCTTTTTAAATTAATAGAGGCTGACTTTGCATTAGCTGCAAAGACATACTGCACAACTACAATCCAAGACAACTATATGCCATCTCCAGCCTTTACGAAAGTAGTTGATGGACACATGCCAGGAAAGACATTTTACTGAGGCACTGATTCAGATTTTTACTCAAGTTTTTTATCTCAAAACTCTTCCTTAAATATAGGGAATAGGAAGTTAGGTACTTGCTCATTTAAGATTGACATATTTCAAATTGCAAGAGGTAATGAAATAAAATAGCATGGGGCCTATGTTCATCTGATTGAGATGAATCATCACTTTACTATATAACCTGTACATGTAAAAAAAATTATGTTTGACACTTTTTGCTCATTTACCAGCCTGAAGTTAAACTGTCTGTCTAAACTTCCACATATCTTTCCAAGTCAAAGTTCTTTGGTTAATTAGGACAGGGCTTCATGACTAGTTTAATGGACCCAAACACTTCTCCACTAACTAGACTCATTCTCCTCCACCAGGGAGATGCTCCCATTCCCTTCCTCAGGCTAGAATGCCAGCCTTTTCTTACAGTTTTCACCTTCTGGCTGGATCAGATTTCCTGATCCACCCCACCAATCTCAAACATAGTAATGCTCCTTCCAAGGAACAGGAATAAAAATGCAGTTTGTAGCATAAAAGAAGACTAGCCATCTGTTAAAGCTCAATATTTTTTCCCAAGAAAAGAAAAAGACTCCATCATGCCAGTAGAATTCAAATTGTTTTTTATACTACTAGACTTAGAAAATATTAGATTCTGCTCTGTAATACCACCTGCACAGTCACTTTAAACCTTTAGGTTTTTATTTTTGTAGATGGTAGTTCCTGAACATATCCCTGCCTCAGCTTTTCCAGTCAGTGACAACCTGTATCAAAACCAGTATACTCCACCACAGTTTGAGAGTCACAGCGATTCTACATTCCTGTAGAGCTTAAGAACAACCTACACACAAGGAAAGTGCTTAAACACAGCAAGAGCTCTTCAAGCAGATATTTAGACATTCTTGAAACTAATCTGCATAGGATTGCATTGTCACTGACAGGACACGGATGAGATTCATGCATTCAGGAAGAGTCCCAAAGCTTCAGAGTTTAATTTTCATTCTGCTGTTCAATCTGAAAACTAAAAACAAGAAAAAGCACAATAGCTCTTTGGAAAAAAAAAAAAGAGTTTACCTCCACAGGCAGTTTCCCCAGTAAAGTAGGTATTTAAGGAACCAGTGTCTGAATGTAGACCAACCTTCTATGCCATAGTAGACCCAAGAATTGGCCTTTTTTTGCCCATTAGTGACAAACTTCATGTTATATCACAGAGGCTCAGTAAACTTACAGTTGAAGCCAAATCAGCATGAAATTGCATCTTGTTTAACTGGTCATCAAGATTTATCATATTTTGATCTAGTCAAGCATCAAATAAACAGGCTATACACACATCCCACTGGCTAGTTACTGGATTTGTGCAGCTGTAAGTAAAGTTTAGAAAAAGACAGTACACTGGAAATTAAGCAGCTCATTAAAATTGAGTTTACAGTTTAAATGGAGTTGTTCTGCAAGTGACTGAATAGGAAGATTATGGTAGTTCCAGGTTAGCTAGTATTTAAAAAAAATTTTAAGGTAGCAATCAAGCTTTAAGTGTCCAATAAATCTGCACAGGCCTAATGGACACGTTCTTTACAGCGGTGCATGGTTGGAGGATGAGAGACCATGGACATAAGTTGAAGTTAGAGAGGTTCAGACTAGAAGAAGTCTCACAAGGACAGTCAGGCATTGAAACAACTTTCCCAGGACCATACAGTGTCCGCTGTTGAAGGTTTAAGACACATGAAAGCCTGAGTACCCTAGTATGACCTTGCTTGGGGAAGATGTTGGCTTAGAAGACTTCCTAAGAACCCTTTCATCTGAATTATCTAATGATCCTAAGCTAGTTAAACCCATTTTTAGCTTATGCCAAGCCTGTGGTAATTTAAAATAAGCCTTTAACATAGCAGCTACTAGAAGATGAAGTTGTTTTCAAACATCAGTGGAAGCATTTTTGTATAGGGTGTGACATATGACATGAAGATTCATGTTTTCAAAAGCATACACCAACAACATAAAGATGCCCGAATATATTTATTTGTCTCTTAAAAAGTATGTTACTCTTTAGGAAAAAAAAAGACAGCCTAGGAAGTCTAAATGCAGATTAAAGTACATCCAATCCGGCACATACTTTATGCTGATGTTTGCTTAAACATCAGCACCATCAGACCAAGCAAGTTAAGACTTCTAAAGTCAGTAGCAATGAGGTACCAGGACAGAAGAAATCCTTAAAATAAAGAGCAGCTTCAAAGCCTTTCAGCCAAGCAAAGCCAGAGTTCCAGAACATATTCAAGAACCGTGAAATCTCTCTAATCCTTTGATCTTCGTTTGCTGCCAGAAATACATATGAGTTATAACAAGGAAACATAAGCATCTCAACATACAGAATTACAAACTGGTAAGCCAGTTCACCAGCTCCAAGTAGTCAGAAGAGTGCAGCACTGTTCTAAAATTGAAAAAGTTAGAGCTGGGGCAGGTTGATAGGCTAGCAAGAACCAGTTAAGCTATTTCCTTCACGACCTCTCTCCTCCCTCATGGTATTCAGAACCGTCTAAAGATGTTAGGAAAAAGAAGCAAGTGAATTATCACAGGATAGCAAGATACTTACTTTTTGCACTCTTGGTAAAGTTTTCAGTATTAATGCATGAAAAAGTTACTGGATGTTTATTTCTGGATGTGCATATGGGTGAGGTTACTATAATTATGTGCCAGCAGTACAACTGTAGTCATTAATGTGCTTCATATGTAAAGTATTAGCTGAACATATTCTGCCTTCAATGGCTGGAGGTGCATTTTTGTTAGTATCTCTATAACCATGCCTTTCCCCTGTTAAGTACAATCATGTACCCATCTTGTTCTTACGCAGTGGTAAAAGCCATCTACTTCACTCAGTCCTAGTGAACACATGAAGAAAGATACCTCCCATCTGTCATTGGCCCCTTCAAGATTTCCAGGATGTCTCGATCCAGAAGAACTAGCAATGAGACAGATCCTCATGGTGTGGGATAATAAATAGGGACAAGTGTGTAGGTGACAAGTCAGGCTAAAGTGGGACATTACTGGTGACAAAGGAGAAGTTTACAGTAAAGGTGCAAGTGTCTATTCAGCTAAAACGATAAGTGAGTCCTATTTGGAATGTAGCATATGTCCTAGAAGCAAACTAGACACTGAATGTTGTCTTTGTTCCTTTTTAGGAGTGTAAACACTACCTTATGTTCTCAAGTAAGACGACACTAATCATACTTAGATGCAGCCACTCAGGCAAGTAGAGTGATAACTCACAAGATACATATTCTTGTTTAGCATGAAACTGAGTAAACACCCACAAGAATCACTTATTCAGATAATACCAGACACCCCATATGGATTGTCACAATGCAGCACCATAGCAGCAGTTTGAGATAAGGAACAGTCTTGCTGCTCATCCCATCACATTTACTGTACAGTGGTAGCATTAGCAGCACTGTGATTTACTCTCTGCTTTCAATGGGTCTAGGTCCAGTCTTGGTTTCCCCACATCATTGTCTTCATTAGGAAAGGTTTTGTAGTTGGCAAGGATGTTTTCCACCAAGAATCGAGCAGCTTCATCTATGTTGATGTTGTCCTGAAAGTGTTGAAAGCAAAGAAGTCAGTGATTTTTTTTAAATAGTCACACATTCCAATTAGAAGCTGGCCAAATACAAAAACTATTCTACAGTCTCAACAGCATGACAAACAGCTTAGATGCATCAGGTCATCACTCATACACTTGCTTGTTGAAAAAAGTTACCAGAAAGGTTTAAGACAAGGTTATTCACCCATATTACAAATAGGATACTTTGACTCTAATCTAGTATGCAGTCAGGGGATAAATGTCACCTGCATTTGGAAGACTCAAATGTTAAAGTACATTTGCCCACCAGAAAAGATAATAGGCTGTTCATAGTATTCTACCTTTTGGGGCCTTTTTCTGCTTCTGCTGCATTTTGGATTCACTTATGTAAAAAGACCTTTTCTATCAGCCTCAAAACCCCAGCTGAATCAGGGTGCCTCATTGAGCCACTACATTTTCTTGTGCATGCTTTGAAAATTACCTTAACATACACCCTGAAGAGGTGTGCATGCAGGATACCTAGAGCTGTATTTCATCAGGGTATCTTAGTTACTGAGGGGCCAAGCTGACCAATGCCAAGGGGTCTTTGGCCACAGCTTTGAGCTGGCTGGGCCACCTGTTAGCTCACCACAGGGCTGCCACATTTGGAATCACTTGTCTTTGGTTCCAAGGGAAATACCACCCCAGTGCACTCTGTCTCCATAATTGTAGATCTAAACTCTATATGAGCAAAGTTAGATCATGAGAACATTTGACCCGTTGCTACTGCACTTTGCAAGCTTGTGGCTGTCAGCCACAAGCTGCTTCTGGCAGTTTGCAGATAGGCACCTTTCCCTGCCCAGTGTGGAGAAATATTCTCCTCGTTTTAGTGTGAGGATATTCATAAGGTATTTCTATGAAGTATTTATACTCTCTGCAGTTTTTACCTTAAATATACTCCATAATCCACAGGGAGTAGGACCTATATTAGTGATGACCAGACTGAAGATTCAAGTATCAGTTCTACCAGAAAGGCAAAAGCAGATTATCAAGATATTTAAGTGGGCAGGACTTAAACCCATAAACTGATCTGGTATGCTTAGAAAACAAGAAAAGCTGTCCTGAATTTTTGCTAAGCCATTTTAACTACCTCTTCAAAGTCCTAAACAAGTTAATTTGTAACTGAACTAGGACTAACATTCTCTGGACTTTTCCCTGCACCAAGAACCTTGCTTTACATTGTGTGTCTTAAATGCCACCTAAAATGCAAGCTGTCACTACACTTCCATGTTAGGTTTTGTTCCAGTGATACTTGCATTTATTTTTAACCCATGATGAAGTTTATGTATAGCAGTGTTATGGACAGGTGAAGCTTCAGGGAAGACAACCCAAAGCAGAATCTTGGTATTCTTTGAGTAAAAAAAGCCTTAAAATGTGAGGTTTTAGTAACAGATGGGTGGGTTTGGGAATATTTTGTTCAAATGCAAACAAACTATTAGCTAATTTAACTAATTTCTGTTGCTGTTCCTTATTTTAAAGTGATCAGAAAGAGGCTTGTTACTTTATTTCTTATCATATTCCTCCTACAGACTTTTTTTTTTCTTTAAGAGTTGTCTAAACATCACTTTGTGCCAGTTCATCAGCAACAGTTAGAGGTAGGCAAGCCAAGGGAAAAGAGGGACTTTGATGTTTGGCTTACCATATAAAGGAGTTAACCAGACTGGTAATTTGGTCTGTAAGCCACATTGTCTTAATCTAGAAGAAACTTTCATTTTAAGGAACTGTTGGATTCCACTTTCAACTAAGTTACTGCAAGCTTATCTGTGCATTGACCAAGTCTGTAGACTAAAACTATACAATATATGAAATTACTCAAAGTTATCTGTTTGAATAAAGTAGCTATCTATCTAAGCTTAAGTTAATACACAGAGCAATTTGGTTTTCTCCAGTGTCAGTTTTGACACTGCCTGATAAAATAGTAAAGTGCTTTATGACATTATCATCTGGGTGGGTAGTAACAAGTGAGCAAATAGCTTGTTCACTTCTGGAGTCTTACTACTTCCTACATGCAATAGTGAAGACAGAAGCTGTAATTTAAAAACCTGTATCTAGAGATTACTTGTATTTTTTGGACAGTTTGATCAGTGTTTAATAGTACTAACATCTGAAGAATGACACTATACTGACATGTGCAAGAAAAAAGCTTAAACTCAGTTAATCAATTTTTCCAGTTAGTTTTAAGGTTCTCTGAATTTAAGATGCAGTTCTAATCTAAATCAAATCTGCTGCAAGTCTTCCAGCTTTTGCTGAAGACTGGAGACTTGACTGTCACTTCCTATACTTGATGATTTTCTTCCCTACATGACTATATTCATCCATTCTTATGCCGATACTTAGAGTTAAAATGTTTCCTCTTTATGCTCACCTTGGCAGAGGTTTCAAACCACCCAACAAAGCCACCTTCTCTGCAGAACTGGTCCATTTGAGAGGGATTCTGGCTGCCATCTTTGCTCTGGTCACACTTGTTTGCAAGAAGAACAGCAGGGATGGGGCTGCCATTAGGGAGTAGTACTTTACTGTCCAAATCATGCTTCCATTTTGAAACAGCCTCAAAAGTGGAGCCTCTTGTGACATCAAAGACCACAAAAGCACCAACTGCCTCTTTGTAGTATACTCTGGTCATATTTCCAAAGCGCTCCTGGCCTGAAAGAGAGGATAGTCAGAGAGTATATTTATAGTCAAGCATGAACTATAGTCAGTGTAAGTGGGCTTCTGTACCAGATTAATACATATGAATTTGGCATTTAGGTCTAGTCATCTAGTTCATACAACATTGCCTCTTCAATCCTGTTATCTCATTGTAACAGCCATTATGTGTGTCATACAAGTCAGATGCTCAAAGCAGTTTGCAATCCTAACTACTACTGACTTTTTTTTAAACTTATTTGTTGAGTAGCGTTCTTTGAGAAGTAATGCCTAAAAACACTACCAGCATAGCTATACACAGATTCTTTCCTCAAAAAAGCTTCAGTAAGATTTAGATGTAAACCTAATTGCTTCAGCTAGAGACTTAAGCATACTTAAGACACTTTTTCTGGAGGCTGAACAACAAGGGTTTCTACAAGCTCCAAGGCTAACAGCCTTCAAAACATCTTCTGAAGAAGTCACCTATATTATAGACTTTTTCCTTGGGGAAAAGCTCAAAAGGAGCTAGTTTAACAGTTCTAGCTAAACCTGTTATCTTTGACTTCATCTTTTAAGTCTGAGACCTCCTCTGGAATAATTTCCAACTGTAGGAGTTCTACAGCAATCCCAGGATTTGATACAAGATGATCAATAGTTAAAGTACAATTATTTAGAAAAAAAATCAACAGTCAGCAAGTATAGTCAACTAAAGCCTTTTCTTAAGTACAACTATTGGAGTCAATATACTTGAAATGTAGAATTAAAATGCCAGTTCAGTTATTCTTCTGTTTGGAAGGTCAGACCATCATGCTGTGTTTGTACTGGAGTAGAGAGAGCAGTGTCAAGTGCATGCATGTTGCTTGGGCAGTTTGGGCTACCAAAATAGCTTTCTGCTTTGTTCAGAAGTCTTCATTGGGAAAAGTAGTCCCTGTACTTTATAATTCAGTTTTATAGTGTGCCATCACTTCAACTTTCAGCATTTAGTGCATATGCAGTTTTACAATACATGAAGTAAGAATTTTAATTGGAACATAGTTATCTTCTGTTTATAAACATTCAAGTCTGCCTTTGATTAGCAAGGACAAACAGTTACAAGAACTGGGTATTATCATCTTCTCAGAAAGAGCCAAAAATTCATTAGTTGAAGGAACTTGACAAGGGATCTTGTTCAGCAGCATGTTTTTTGAGCTCAGCTCCTTCGTTTTAATGTCAGTACTTCAGTGTACCGATTAGCTCATTCCCAATAGACATTTTCAGAAAAGGTTGACAAAGCAGCTGTTAGATTTGCCAGAAAGCAGCAGCAGCTACAGTGAAGTTCCAGAGAACTATAAAGCTCTTTCTGGAGGACTTCATTTCTGGCTGTTCAACTTTAAAGTATGATGCTGCATAAAATAGCATCACTAGCCAGCATATTCTGAGGAGTGGAAATTACACATTAAGTTCTTCACTATCAGTTCATTATCTCCTGTGTGAGAAAAGGGAGCATGCAAGAGGAAAGCACTTTCCTCCATATTCAAAACTCAAGTTTTAAAGCAGCATTTATGCTGTTGACTCAAGGCCCACAAGCCAGGCACTAACCTGCATCTGTGACTATGTCACTGAAAGAGGTACATTGCTGACACAAGTTTCCTAACAGTGCACACAGAACTTGTAAACATGTAACTCATTGTCTTCCTAGGCTTTTCCAGGCTGGATTCTTATGCCTAAAAGGTCTTTTTAGTATAGCCTTACTGCAGATTGTTGTACCATGTGCCCACTGTTTTCGTTAATCAAGTACCAGTAGGAAAGTTTGGCCAGAAGGCTTTTACTACTTCTGCAGATTAAGCGTACCACATCTAAAGAAGCTTTACCTTTAGACTGTAGGGATCTTGGTTTTTTTAAATGGAGCTGCACAGGGTCAACTTTAGTTATATTAAACCAGTCACTGCCTATGGCACCACACCAGCCATGAGAAGCTCCTTCTCAGCTTCCACATTTGTTTAGCTGTCAGTCTCACCATCAATTTGTGTTATACAGGAATGCCTCCAACTGTGCTAAAGCCCTGAGTCTTGTGTCCAATTCAACCAGTATACCCCTTCACACCATAGGATTGGCCCACAAAACAAACATTGTAATCTCAATGTCTACAGTGCTCTGTACCACCCTCAGTCTTCTACAGAAAGATTTCTTAAAGTTTGGCCCCAAAATGGTCTAGAAATGGACACCACTTGCTGTTATTTACATGAGACTGCATGTGAATCTGAAGCAGTGAGGGGAACAATCCCATTAGTCCTCCCTATTCAATTGTTGCAGATTTGTGGGGATTTCAGTCTTTATTTAATTAAGGCTATAAGTTTTTCCAAAAACTTGATGGACGTTTACTTAAGAAAATTAAGTTGTATTGATTAGTTGCAGAAAGAGTTGCTAGACTGTTACCAGCAAGGAAAATTAAGTTATTTGGAAATTGAAGAAAAGGTTGTCGGGCTGTTATAATTTCTGAGATAGCTGTGCATGGTGTAGGTAAACATGGCTGTGATCAGTTACCACAGTGAAGGACATTACCATTCACTGAATCCTTTCCTGCCTACTGCTCTCCCATCCAAAAAAGCTTTAAAGAGAAAGAACAGTTAGCAAGAAGGCCATACTAGCCTCCTATAGCAATAACTCTTGCTGAAGCCTGCACAACACAGTGGATCTAAGGTGTAGGAGAGAGATTGAACTAGTACAGGGTCACGTACAGCTTCCAAAGACAAGAAACAAAGTTACAAAGTATATATCATAACCAAACTTGAAGAGTCCTAAATACCACCAAGTGTTTTTTCTTGAAGGAGTAACAGGGGACCTAGCCTTGGCCACAAAGTCTGGTCACCACTCAGATAAGTTTGTCAATTCCATTTCCAAGAGAATTCCCATCATCTTACCACAGCCAGTCTTCCCCACCCACCTGGCCCAATGCCTTTATATACAATGAGCTGGAGGGCTGCACTGACTGGTAATCAACTAAGACTGCCTGGCAGTTGCTTCCTTGACCTTGGTGACTTCTCATGCTCCAGTATGCCCCAGACTACATGAAGCTTTAACACCATGGCAGCCCCTTCCCCTGTTGGTAAAAGCCAGGTATGCTATACCAGAAAGGCAATAACAGTCTTGTAGCGGAGCAGCAGACTAGCTGAATCCCCCCATGGGGTCCCGATAAGGAGAGAGGCCACTGCAAGTGGGGTTGTGCCAACTGGCAGATTCAGGAGCTCTGGAATAATGCAGAAGACAAGGTTAGCTTTGTAGTGTAGCTTTTGTCATTGTGTAAGATGGCAGTTCTGGTAGGAACGTAAGCCTGCACTGAACTGTACTTTATTTTGTACTCTATAGCAGTCACTTAAAGCATGGGCTTCAGCTGTCCAGAACAATCATTTAAGTATTATTTCTAGCTGGCTTTATTGATAGAAGTTGAAATTTTTGCTCTTATAGTACAAGTTTTAGACTTGGAGAAACATTAATACATATTCTTCTGTAATTTAAATTCGGGTGAAAGTAAACAACTGATGTGCATGTTGGCATAAAAGCCTGTACCTTTACTTATTAGATTTAAGCTTTACATTAAGAGGATTTGATACTTCTTACCCCTAAAAACACATACAAGCTCAACACCATTGTAGTATTACAAATTATTGCCTTTTAATAGGTCAAATACACTCCAGTATGAGTGCTGCCCTTTTCTCAAGTAGCCCAAATACCAAAACAGTTTATTACAGAGCTGCTTCACCTCCAGAATTCGTATCTGCTAACAATAGATCTGACCTGCATAGTAGCTTATGACTGCTATTCCATCCTGTCTGGAGGTCTAACGAGGATGGATATATTCTTTTTATTCCATAGAAAGATGACAGAAGCAACACCACATGGCCTGCCTAAGAGGCAAGAGTTTTGTTGTGGTAAAAGGTATATTGCATGAGGCAGGAAGAGAATTCAGTATAAACTGAGTAGACTTTCCTTACAATCCTGTTATTACTGACAATACACATGCTTTAGACTGAGCTTCTTCTAGGTGATGCAGAGCATTCTAGACAGCCTTTTGAAATTTAACAGGACTTTCAGGAAAAGCTTTTGCAAGTGCTTTCCTGCCTGCAAGAAAACTCATACAGAAAAAACAAACTGTAGAACACACCACTCCTCCAAAGTTTGTCATGTGAACATCATTCTCTATTTAAGTTATTAAAACTAAATTGACTCAATTTTTGCCATGCTCAGTTCAGCCAGGGATTTGTCATTCCCTTTACGTCCAGCAGAATTTTCGCTGTACTCATTTCACCATGGGTGAGAATAGTGTTGAGCTGTACCAAAAGTGGGTCATACCCCCAGAGGGGAAAAAGGCTAAAGTGATCAGAAGCTAGACTTAAAGTCTCCAGTGTGTGTAATCATGGAATGAAGACAGGAAAATCAGTTTTTTACCACAGCAGTATGGAAAGGACATCAGAGGATTAATCATTCTGGTACTTCTAGTGCCTTGACAGAAACCTGATGGTACCACAAAGTTATCTTTTCTCTGTGCTACATGGCAGTCATGGGGATCAGAGGTTTTGTTTGGGGGTATGGAAGTGGCTGCATGCAATGCAAAGTTCTGCATTCTCTAACCACAGAGTTTTCACATCTAAATGACTCAGCACATATTGTCATCATATTTTCCATTAATTGCAACAACATTAAGTGAAACACTTGCATAATGTCATGCATCAGGAACTAATAAAGTTCCCTACAGCAGCACCGCAGTAATGAAGTTTAGTTTAAAACTGTATCAGAGCTTGGGAGCTGTTATTGCTTCCCAGTTTACAATGCAACAGGAATAAATCTTAAGTTAAAAACAACATGAAAAAATTATAGCCAGGTCTGACACTAGAAGCTTTATCTTTGTCCTTTACTTCACTGCAAAAGATAAGTTATGAGATTCAGATACTGCCAACCTAGCCTTGAAGTACAGTTTAGAGAGTTTTTACAGCAATCTTTCCCAGTGTAAGGAATAAACAAGAGAGTCCTGTTTATCACAG